CAGCCGCAAGAGCCAGGGGCCGCAGTGGCAGCACAGCACCGTGCGGCACCGCGTCTGGCATCGGGCACTGCCGCCAGCCCCGCGCTGGGGACAAAGTGCCCTGTGGGTGCTGCTGGGCACATCGCAAAGCAGGGCCAGTGCCCGTCCGTCCTGCAAAACCTCGCTGTGCACGGCTTAAATATCCACCCACATTGGAGCAGTGACATCAGCGTTGAGCAGGGGCTTTCAGTTTCCCCAGCATCGCTCTCAAGATGTTAGACTAGTCCTTAACCTTTTTTTACAAGAAATGCTCCACAGCCATCAATGAGTTTGCACTAATTCAACCCAACTTGAATGGCGCTGCTGCAAGATGGGTAAAACTCAGGGAAACAGGAGGATGCCGGGATCCTGGCAGTGGTGGGGCTTGGTCTGACTTTGGTTTGGGTCTCTCTCCATCCTTTGGCTCATGCTCTTTGTAACCACAAGCTGCTGGCAGAAATCCCAAGCCTGAAGTGGCTTTTGGAGTCAACCACGGCGCCTCCATGCCCAGGTGGGGTGCTACGACTTTGAAATGTTTTGTAATCCCCTCAGCAGGTTTTGCTCTTGTGGGATCTGTGGCCAGGCTGCATGGGACAAGGCTGCCATGAGGGTGGCTTGAGCTTTCCCTCTGGGGTATTCAATATTTCTCTGCAACCACCGCAAATGCCGGTGCTGCTGCGCTGGAGCCGTAGGTGGGGCAGCGCCTGCTCTCGGTTTCTTTTCACACCCTGCACGTTGTTGTCTCTTGCAAAGTTGCTTCGGGGGCATTTTTGCATTTCGGTCTCAAAAAAGTTGGGTTTTTTTTTAAAAAACAACATTTTTTAAAACCCGCACGTAAATGGTGCTGGGGGCAGATTTCAGCTCAGATTCAGCCTGAATTTCCCTTTCAGGACTGCTCCTCAACCTGCTCTTTCCCCTGGCAACAGTTCTGGTGGATTCCACTAGATTTTAGGTCCATTACCGGTAGAGTAGCCCAAGATTTTGAAGCTTTTTTCTTGATGAAAATGTCCGTGATGTGACCTGTTCCCACCACAGGACCCTGCTGCCTGGCCCTTCCCTGGAGGTGGGACACCAGGACTGATGTTCGACTCCATGGTGGGATGAATGTCAAGGAGAAGGTACAAAAGCCACCACTTTTCCTCCACCTGGCCCAGCCCTGTCTGTTTTGGCTCCTCAGCACATCCCAAGCTGAGCAGGACTCAACACAGCTGAGCCACCCCAACTGGGCACTGAGGGCTCCGGGTCTTAAGGAGCCAGGGTGAAGAAGAAAAGAGAAGACAAGGGTAAAAAAAAAGGAGGTGCAGAAAGGATGTGAAGTGTGAGAACCTGTGAGGGAAGGAAACAGCAGCATGCCTTGAAAGTGAAACTGCCCAGACGGGAAATCGAAGCACTTGTGCAGCTCACAGGCTCCGTTTTGCCCAGGTGATTAAAGTCTCCAGCCATCCCTGCAAACCCGGCCAGCTTGGTGGCACTGCACGGTGGGTCCCATGCAGGTGAAGCAGCCTGGCTCCAGAGCAGGGCTGGCTGCCTGGCTGTGACCCTGGTGGGACACTGGCTGTCCTTGTCCAGGTGAGGACACCGATCTCCAGGTAGGGACGCTGCTTTTCTGGTGAAGACGTTGCTCTTCTGGTGAGGACACTGCTCTCCTGCTAGGTCCACTGCTTTCCTGGTGGAGTATGGCCCTCCTGGTGGGGACATGGCTCTACCGGTAGGGACATTT